AGCAGATGGTTGAGAGGCTACTGTCTCGCGGTGGGAAATCTGCAGAGGAACTTCCAGCACCGTTCGAACGAGAGAACCCTTTTCTGAGGCAGGGCTGTTGGTTTGATTTCAATATCCCTCAGCGGTAGGTTACGATCCGGTTGCAGCCCAGAATCTAATCTAATCTAATCTAAGACGGTGACAACTGCAGAATCTACCCAGCTGGTGTCTAGTGTCTAATGAAGACTGGGATTGGCTTGGAACCTGAGCCCCACAACGGGCATTCGAGGTGGAAGGAGCATTTCCCTGACGGAAACTTAGACAACATCGGAACGGAGTCTTGGTGTTGACGTGCCGCCGGATGTTGACCCCCCACCCATGCCAGATTTTGGCCAGCTTATATAGGCCGGCTTGTGAACCCCCATGTGTATGGTTCTATTAAGTCTTATGAAGTGTTTTGGTTGTGGACAGGCGGGCGAAGGCCTCACCAAAGCCTAGAGTGACACCGACACACATGGAAATGGGCCGTTGCCACAAGCGGTGGCATTTCGGTGGTTCTGCTTTCATTGAAACTGCAAGGCGCTTCATACTTCCATCTTACCATCTCTTACCCTTCTTAGCTTGATGAACACCGAGAACGGGATCGACGGCTTGCGACCCAAGTGGTGGAGATAGTGAGTCATAGTGAGTCAAGGTGAATCGCGACAGGAATCCTTCTTGTCCACGTTGGAGGGTGCAGAGGGTGCAGGGGATTGCAGGGGATCCTCCGTAATCGATCGGGTCAACTCAAAAACATCTAGCGTCAAATTCCACACTGCCCAGCACCACTTGGAATCTCACACCCTTATCACACTCCGCCCAGGAGTTTGCCACTGGAAGCACTGGAAGTGCTGCGCCGACAGGACCCAACTATGGTCCGTCCGCTCCTCCGCGCTCTCCGCGTGAAGCGGGTCCCCGGAAGGGTCGAAGCACGGCGGTGGACGTTCCGTCCGGACAAGGCTGGCAGTTTCCACCAGAGGTTTCACTGGACGAAGAAGTTTTGAAGGCGGTTTCAAGCTTGAAGCCGGACTGCACGTTTTAGTTTAATGGTTAGGGATTGGGGATGATTTGGGGCATATATATATCATTCATATATCGATCGAATGGCACCTGCTTCGGGAACAGAACCGCTGCTGTGGGTTGCCAGTTCAACCATTTGGCCTGAGACAGCAGCCTTGAAATAACTCCTTTTTCATGAGCTTGAAGAAGGACAGTTTCCCGAACGAATTCATTGCAGACTTCTTACTGTACCTTTGTCTTGGGGAGGGGCCCAGGCGAGACACGCCCATTCGGATACGAGTGAGATGTCAAATGTTGAAAATCCTAGTCACCCCTGTCTATTTCAGCTGTATATTCTTCGTGTTTTTTGGGCCTCCAGGCCGGTCCAGGCCCCCAGGTCCTGCATGGTCCTGCTGTTTCTTGATCTAAGGAAGCACCAGTTGCAGTCCAGTGAGGTCTCATCCTCTGAGGAGAAGCAGCGACTGCTGCGGCCACTCTTCTTGACCTGGCATCCAGACAAGCGTCCAGAGCAAGTGGAGTTAGCAACCCAGGTCTTCCAATGGCTTCAGGCTGGGTGCAGGTGTCTGGCCTTGGGCTTTGAACTCCAAAAGCTTTAATTATATAGAAGAAGCAGGGAAGGTAGCTTAAATGGATATGTTCACCAATTTGGGTGTGTCTGGTGTTTAACTGCTTTGAGCCTACTACACTTGTTCATCCCAAGTGACCTCCAAGATATATATATATATATACATATACTTGTAGTTCTTTTATCAAGATGTTGCAATAAAATAGGATTTGAATGGATGTGTTTTTTGGGTCCAATGGCAGTATGCTTGCATCGGGCGCACATCATGCAAAAACAATACACAACTATACTATACACCTGCCCCCCCCAAAAAAAGTACATAGTGACATAGTACGGACATAGAAGAACCGAATTCCGATGCGCTGCTAGCAGTTCTCATGCATTTGAGATCATTTGAGTCATTCTGAGTCTCGCCTGCAGGCGATCAAATAGATGCGATGTGCCAGAAGCTGTGGGCTGCGGTGGCTGTGCTCGGCTGTGCTCTGCGCAGCTCCCGTCGCTCCAGGCAGAAAGGCATTTGTTGCTGCGCGGTATGGGTCTAAGCCTTTGGTGAGTCCTTTTTCACCTCCCCAATGCGACACAAGCATGAAACGCCGGCAGGCCTGCAATGGCGGAAGCCTAAAAGTTCGTTCGACTACATGATGCAGCTGTGGGTCGAAACCGGGGGATTTTGGTTGATCACCGATAATGAACAGAATAGGCTACAAGCTACAAGGGAGGTGAAACCTACCAGGTTATGGGGCTCCGGGTCTGACTGCCAAGAGGGTCGTTGATGACCTCGAAGCGCTAATGATGTGAGGAAGCGCGGAAGCGCTGCCTATTAGATGCTTGTGACTCGATCGACGGCCTTTGCTCGAAGGTTCCGTGCTGCTTTTCACCGTGACAACCTGAAGCTGTTTGTGCAGAAGCTTTTACACGGTACGAAGATGTACGAAGCATAATAAGCCATTGTAAGCAAAAGTTCGGACCTCGGAACACCACGACCTCAATCAGCCTGAAAAGCAGCAACCCCAGGAGGGGCCAAGGTGGTCAAGATCGCAAGCCTGCAATGGTTTGTTCGTGCTGCTGGGCTTCAAGGTGCCAAGAGCAGCAGATGCAATTGATCAACACTTGCCCAAGACAACCGAGCAACCACAGCTTCCGGAGAGTTGGGGGTTAGCAGCCTTTTGCAGGGCGTAAGTTGTCTGGGTGTCGTTCGAGGAGGGATTTTGGTGGGTGCAATGGATACAGAAAGCACCGGCCCCACATGCCACATGCTTTCGACCATTTTTGCCGCCTGCAAAAACAGCCGATGGAGGGGGTGTGCCAACTAGAGTGGATCAAGCAACGCAAGTGCCGAAGTTTGAGGCTGGACCCTTGAGCTCTTTGTATTTTTTTGTGAAGAATCAAGAAGACGAGAGAACCTGGGCTGTGGCCAGAGCAGGGCTAAGTAGGCCGTTGCCCGACTCAATGCCGGCATCGAGTCTGGAAGGTCCTTGGATGCTGTCATACGTGTATTGCCACACGATGCATCAAGCATGCTGTCGAGCCTTGATCATTCGCAGCTCATGTTTGGATATATGCCAAGCCGTGACTCGCAGATGTTGCCACTTAGAACAATCGTCTGCCAGGCTGCAATGGTGTCAGCTGTCTTTATGCAGACAGATCAAAACAGGATCGCAAAATGCACCTTCCCTTGCGGATTCCAGACGCGAAGGTGAAAAGCGAGCGCCGAGGACGACATGTCCGGAAAAATCCCTCGATGTCGGGGTCCGTTCTTGGGACTGGGAGTCGGGGGCGGGGGGTGGTGGTGGTTTGGATGTGCTTCAGCGGAATTGGAAGGAGTCGTCATAATGAGTCGTTTCTTTTGTCCATCAACCGGTGCGAGGTTTACGTTGAGCGATGATGGGGCATGTGTTGCTGCCTGGCCCCTGCTTCCACTTGCCCATGATGTTGCCTAATTTCGCCTTGTTCGGTTTCTGGCCTCCTAACCATCTCTTTGGGCCACAACTCGATGCCTAGGTGGTGTGTGCCACCTGCATTGGCTGCGGCATGGGCCCGCTGGACCGGATCCAATTCCCCTTCGTGCGGATCGCCAGCGACCGGGCGGACGCGCAAGTCCGGAATGGCCGTAGAAACAACAGGTCCAATCGAACAACAGTTGATTGAGATGGTACAGACGCAACATTGAGATGGTACCAGATGTGTCCATAATAGGTTGCTTCATGTTTCGCTCTACAACATTATATACACCCGGGATGATTAACATGGAACCTGAAAATGCACCTTTGGAAGACTCTTTTCCTCTACAACTCAGTGGTTTTCAGGTTCCATGTTAATATTCCAGAGTGTAACAATTTCAATTCGCAGCTTTTTCAAGAGCATGGCAGGTGCAGCCTCGGAACCCCCAGGTTGCTGGCAAAAACAGCACCGATCCATCGCGGTGTCTCATGATTTCTCAATAGATTCAATACCTTCCAAGACCGAAGCATCAGCCCATGATAGGCTCATCTCTTTTCTTCGTGTCCGACCGGTGGCTCGGACGACATGACTTTTTGACTCACCCCGCCCGGGGGGTTTTCCTGTTTGTGCTGCTCGGTCGCCTTGGTGAGCCTGCAAGGAGCCATGCCCGAAGAGAGAGAGAGAGAGAGAGTGTGTGTGCAACTCTTTGAGACATCCAGCAGAGTCAGATGGTTCCGGAGCGAGAAAAAAGGGTTTTGAGACTGAGATCGTCATCGACGAAGCGGCCCAAGTGATCGAGCCGGGAGCTCAGACATGTGCAGACACTGACCACTTGACATCAATCGGACGCTACAGTCATGCTGCTCGAAGACCGCGGTTCAACGCAACTAACGAGAGCATCTCACCTTTCCGCCTTTTTTCCGCTGTTTTGGGATTGCAACTAGTTCCAGGGAGAACTTGCCTTCTTTCTCTGCTTGTTTGTTTGTCCTTACCAGTGCTAGAGTGTTTCGAGACCCGCCCCCATTTGTCATGCATTGGAGCTACCACCACACGAATTGAGGGACTTGTTTCAGAGGACGTTGCCTCAATTCATTCAATAATCATGTGAGCGAAAAACAGCGCCGTTTAATGGCTCCAAAAAAGCTCGAAACATGATGAAGGAGCAGACACGGGCTGGGGGTGGCGCAAGAAGACGGCTCATGGGAGCACTGGACCTGTCAATGTCACTCTTTCAAATGTCCTTACTGTATATCTATCATTTTGTTGGGCAGCTTACTGCAACTAGACCAGTCAGTCTCAACATGGTTCACGTTTGGCTCCACAACTGCCATACATCGTTGCATGATCGTTGCGGGGTCCCGGTACGCTTGGACATCGGGGAACCGTCTTTGGGGGTCTACGTCTCACATCTCTCAGGGAAACCCGACGGCGCTGTCCGAGAATGTAGCCCTCCGCCATGGCGCTGTCCATTGGCAATTGCCTCCCTTCCATTCTACAGCGCCCCAGCCATGCTGTGCGGATGTCTTTTTCGATGTTAGCCCAGTCATGTCGGGGCTGATTTCATGACAGCTACTGCATGTTTGTATGTTGCTACGGGTGCAAGTCAAGCGGGAAGTTGATAGGTGACTCAGCTGTTGTTGAGTGAGGTACGATGCGCCTGATGCTGGATATTTGGCTTTGAAGCCGCTCTGTAGCAGTCAGTCGGGATCTTTTTTGAAACATATATCATATATCATAATTATCATATATGTTGTGTGTATATATACTGTATATACATATATGTGTGTGTGTATGCGTAACTACATGTGACTAAGTCATATTGAGTCATGCTCCATCATAGAATCAATGGCTGTGAGTACAACGAATCTTTACGCAGGTTAGAGCAATCGTATTTCGGACTTGAAACATGTAGTCTATAATTAATTATGTTAAATGTGTATATCATTGTATATCTTATTTTATGTATACTTTTTTGGTAGCATTAAAACTGAAAAGAACACATTTCCAAGTGCCCTTGTCCGTCTTTGGAAGCAGTGAGAAGAATCAAGAAGAATCAGAAGGGTTGAGGTTCCAATCAGCACTAAACCATTGAAACTCAACGACCTTTATTGCATCTATGAGCTGTGGGTCACACCCACAAAGCCACAACTCCATACAACCTACAAATCCATACAAATCCATACAACTCCACATTCCAGCCCTCACCATCTCGAATCAAATGGAACTGTTCCATTTTGCAACAACCTGCGGTTTCAGCAGTCGAACCGACTGTCCTTTATGCGAGTCAAACAGTCGGACCGTCGGACCGACTGTCCTCCTATGAGCTCCACACAGTTGCCCGAGTCGAGCGAACATGTTCGGACCAGGCCAGGGCAGGAAGTGATCATCGAATACATAGGACCGGCGACTTGGGGATCTGGGGGGAGAAGGGGAAGGAGAGGAATGAGCGGAGAAAGTCGTGAGAATGAGACGAAAAACTGAAGAAGCCTCCCATGACTAACTAGAGGCCTCTTTACTCCAGGTTCGTGACGCATGTTTGTTTGACTTTTTTGACAAAATAGGCAGGACCGGAACAGACCAGCTGAATATAAATCCCTTGTTCCTTCCTGTTGATCGTTCAGGTTCTTTGGTTGGACCCATGCGCTAAGTTAATAAGTTAGTATATGAGATTTGGTGTAAGATGAGGTGTTTCGGATCAGGTGATGTGCGAGGTTGGAGAAATCTAGATGGACCAATTTGGATTCTGCAAATCGTGGCCTTCAGAATGGCAGAACCTTTTGTCTTTATTTGTGCCACATATCATATATACGGCTGTTTTCAAGCCTGTGTGTTTTAATATTTTGCTTATAAATTTGTCTTCACTAGGTCCTGGGCTGAGTCATCGTGCGAAGGCTTTTAGCAACATATTGATGTTGTCAATGATATGGTCAGCGTATGTCCGCGTTTGTGGGATTTTGATTCCCTCCCCTTCGAGGACCCATGAGGACCCTCGCTCACAACAAAAACAAGCTCCCGGCTCCAGATGACGACTGGATGCCTCGAATACAAGAAAACAAATTCAACCAATACCTTTTTTTCCTGACAAAGCATCTTATTTTAATCACGAAAGCTAGCTGTAGCTAGCTGGAGTCTGTCTTGCTTTAGCAAGGAGGGTGGGAGCCGAGGACCTGAGTGCAGATACCTGATTTATCAGGCTTTACCCCCCCCCCCTCGCGGGTTCAACTCCACCCTTCTCCTCAGTACCTGCTGCTGCTTGGTCTCTTGCTGCTTGCATGCTTGGTGCTGCTGATTGCCTTTGGCTGCTTGCTGGTTGCTGCTGACGTGTTCGGGCATGAGCGAAGAGTTCGGTGGGGGAAGCGGGTGGTGAAGAGTTTGGTGATGTTTGGTGGAAGCAATGGCAGTAGTTGAGTTTTCCCTTTGTGCATCCTATATTAACTATATTATTGTCACGCTGCCCCAACTCGTGTCATGGTACGGTTGATGCCATTCATGCGGTTCAGGGTTGCTGGTTGCTGCTCTTGTTGCAACGCAACGAATACACTCTCAGGTGAGGCGTGGTTTGGTTTTCTTGAGGTGACACTTGGTCAGGAATCGAGGTGCGCCTCGCAACTTCGGTGACCCTGGCGGGGTGCTTCGCCGCATCCTTGCATGCTCAAGGGGGGCCATCCTGGTGGTCACGATGACCGTTCTTGATTTTTTAGGAATTATGCATCACGCGTGAGCAATGTTTTGCCTAAGCCATCTAGCACACGGATCCGCAAAGTCACTACAAGCGAGTGCAGGCATGACATTTCCAGTTTGGATATTACGATGGTACATTGCAGTAGGAGGAGGGGTCAAGAAATTCGACGTCCAGCCTCTAAGCGCCTAAGCCCCTAAGCGCATAAGCCCAAGCAAAGCAATGCCAAGCGCCTAAGCGCCTAAGACCATGCAAAGCAATGCCAAGCGCCTAAGCGTCTAAGCCCCGAAGCCTCTACTAATTGAGGCTTAGAGGCGTTTAGAGGCTTAGAGGCGCTTAGAGGCTTAGAGGCTTAGAGGCGTTTGGAGGCTTCGAGGCTTTTAGAGGCCTACAGGCGTCAATGCCAAGCGCCTAAGCGCCTAAGCGTCTAATCAAGCGCCTAAGCGCCTAAGCCCCTAAGCGCCTAAGCGCCTAAGCGCCTAAGCCCCTAAGCGCCTAAGCCCAAGCGCCTAAGCGTCTAAGCCCCTAAGCCTCTACCACCACCACCACCACCACGACGACGACGACGACGACGACTACTACTACTACGACTACTACTACTACTACTATTACTACTACTACTACTACTACATTCAGCCATTGAGGCTTAGAGGCGTTTAGAGGCTTAGAGGCGTCTAGAGGCTTAGAGGCGTTTAGAGGCTTAGAGGCGTTTAGAGGCTTAGGGGCGTTTAGAGGCTTAGGGGCGTTTAGAGGCTTAGAGGCGTTTAGAGGCTTAGGGGCGTTTAGAGGCTTAGGGGCGTTTAGAGGCTTAGAGGCGTTTAGAGGCTTAGAGGCGTTTAGAGGCTTAGAGGCGTTTAGAGGCTTCGGGGGTTTAGAGGCTTAGGGGCGTTTAGAGGCTTAGGGACGTTTGGAGCTTCCTACAACAACAACAACTACTACTACAACAACAACTACTACTACCACACTACTACTACTACAACAACTACTACTACTACCACCACACTACTACTACTACTACAACTACTACTACAACTACAACAACAACTACTATTACTACTACTACTACTACGACTACCATTACTACTAATACACTACCACTACCACTACCACTACTACTACTACCACTACTACTACTACTACTACTACTACTACTACATTCAGCCATTGAGGCTTAGGGGCGTTTGGAGGCTTAGAGGCGTTTAGAGGCTTAGGGGCGTTTAGAGGCTTAGGGACGTTTGGAGCTTCCTACAACAACAACAACTACTACAACAACAACAACAACTACTACTACCACTACTACTACTACTACTACTACTACTACATTCAGCCAATGAGGATTAGAGGCGTTGGATGCGTTTAGAGGCGTCAATGCCAAAAGCTACTACTACTACTACTACTACTACCACTACTACTACTACTACCACTACTACTACTACATACTACTACTACTACTACTACTACCACGTACTACGACATGCCCTTCCTCTACCTTGACAGGTCGCAACGGGGTTGGTTGTTCAGATGGGATGCGAGGGAGCCCACGGCGAGGGCGGGTCCGATTAGCGGTCCGACGAGTAGTGAGCTTTGATACTCCTCCATGGTTCTCAGCGTGTTCATGTATCGTTTTCCACTTGGCGGTGTAAATTGCAAGAATACCAGTCATTGAATAGAAGAGCCCTTGGACCGTTCAAAGCAATTTCTCTTCCGCGCAGCTGCTGGCTGAGGTAGCGATTTTTAGATCTGGTTTTCTTTGATACGAGAATAAAACATCGTTGGTCATTTTAAGATCGGGTGAAATAGAACATTGTTGGTCATATAAATGAATCGTGTTCAACTTTGCCGAAACTGTCACGGAAGGAGGTGAAATAGAACATTGCTGGTTATACAAATGAATCGTGCTCAACTTTTCCGAAATTGTCATGGAAGACACGGTTCCCTCGCACGTTGAAGGGGGTCGTCGCTGAAGGCCCACGGCGGAACGAAAAGGGGCGCACGCACTCACCCGCACTCAACCGCGCTCCCCCGCACGTCCGTTTTCGTCATTTCGCTGCCTTGTTTTTCGCAGCTGTTTGCGGGTCCACTGGGCGTCGCGGGGCTATGCCGCTGCCCACGCCCGAGGCCAGGCCATTCCACACCGACCACGCATGTGCCGCTTTTTGCTTCGTACTCGTGTTTCTAGTTGGTCCATTTGTTTGTGCTACCACCACACTGTCCCCACATCTCTCCGCTCCAACATTTTTCATGCTTTCGGAGTACCTTCACATTTACTTCTCGCTCCGCCGTCTCCCGCTGCGCAGGAGCTTTTGCACTCGCTGCCGCACCCGCTTTCCTGGCCAGCATGGCAGCGCTACCATGCGCTCGCCCACCGGCTCTTCGGCTTTGAAGGGCCTCCTCTGCCTTTCTCGCGCTTCTGCACTCTTTCTTGCGAGCGCTTCGGTCCTGGCTGGCGTGACCAGTGCGTCGATCAGCGGGACTTCGATGCTTTTTGGCAGCCCATGCTACGAGGCTGCCAGGCCTTCATCTTTCCTGGCAACGCTGCGCAACAACTGGCCTGTGAGGCGCTTTTCGAGCATCTTCACCGCCCTATTTCCTTCAACTCCTGGCAAGTCCTCTACTCTCGAGCACATCGTCGACAGCCCGCACTCCTTCCTTTGCTTTCGCACCATCAGCTTGCTCGCCTCAACTGGGCACACTACGGGCTCGCCGCCAAATCTCCTCGCACCCTGCTTTCCGCTGATGTTGCTGCTGGGGTTGCCGCCGCTCTTGGTGTGCTACCTGCTCCTCCTGCCCGCCCCGTCGTGCCTCGCTTCCGCCCATGGCGTCGGCTCCGCTGCCGCCGCCAGACTCTCTGCCATATTCTGAGCCGCCACGTTGCCACCTTGCGCGCCCTGGTCTCGTCCACCGACCCGCACCAGGTGCAGACTCCTGCCGACATGGCCCGCAGCCTTCAGTTTTGCCACGCAGCTTTGCGTCGTGTCACCTCTCACATGGACTTGCTGCTCCGTCGGCTGCAAACCAACACGCATGCTGTCTCACCCACCAGTCTGGCCAACCTGCGCCCTCGCCCGCCTCCGCGCAGTCATCCAACCGAGTGACCCACAGGCGGCACGGTCATGTATGCCTGCTTCCAGCCGCGCCGAAAAGGGTGTCGCTGCCCGGCGTGTTTGTTTTTTCCACGCATCCTCCTGCTTTCGTGTCAGAGCTTTTCCTGCTGTGCGTAGCTTTTGGCCCAAGCTCCTGAAATCTACACATTCGCATGGTGAGCTACCTTTGCATTTCCTTGTAGACATTTTTTCATGGATACTTTTATGTGCTCCTCTCCCTGGCCACAACAGAGAGCGCAGACGCATCACCACACACTCGTGGCATGCATATGATTGAACAATATTGAACAACTGTGTCATGACTAGGACTTCCACCCATCCATATAACCACGACATCCTTGAAACTAATCTCCCACACGTTACCCGCATCGCACCGGCGTTCGCGCGCTCGACCTGCCCCCTTAGTATACTATAGGGCTAAAACCGGTTTATCTACATGACTCCCAATAAAGTGCATTATCACTCGCTACTACACACTCATGACCACACTCTAGTGACATAACTCACACTCATGACCACACTCTAGTGACATAACTATGGCAAGCCTTCATGACTCGGACTCCTACCTATCCATGAACACGACATCCCTTCCATAGACCTCCCACTCGTGTCCGC